GCATTTTTAACTCTTTTTGAAAGAGCGTGTGCTGATTTTTCTGTCAGAGAGTCAGAGAAAATGATAATTTTAAGATCTCAAATTAGTGGGTGTCTGGCTGAAGTCTATGCCGAAATGCCAATCGAAATGATAAAAAATTATTCTGAATTTAAAAAGTTGGTGTTTGCTAGGTTTGGCGTAAATGCAGAACAGCTGAGGCAAAGATTCAGAACACTGTCAAAGAAACCAGATGAGTCTTACACACAGCTTGGTGCCAATTTAGCTGAATATCTGGATAAGTGGTTGGCGCAGGAAGGTGTGCAGACTATTTAACAATTTAAAAATATTATAGGATTGGAACAGTTCTATTCCCTTTTACATGGTGAAATTAAATACTTGGTGAAAGACAAGTGACCTACAGATTTGAAACAGGCAGGAGAAATTGCAGATTTTATTTCACAAATTAGAAAGCCTATGTATTCTGAGGAAAACACTATGAGAAAAAGATGGAAGGACTACAATAAATATCCTAAAGGGCAAGTTAAAAGCCAGCAGAAAGTGGGTGGCCATTCTGTTGGAAAGCCTTCAGAACAGGGCCAAGCCAAAAGCCAGATTTTGGAGGGAAAAGAAAAAGTGGCTGGAAAGAGTTCATGGAGCGACAGAATTTGCTTCATTTGCCATGAGAAAGGCCATATTGCTTCCCAGTGTAATAAAGCAAAAGAAAATAAAGAAATTTTACCTCAGAAAATGAATTTAAACAAGGCTAAATCTGTTTACTGTATTCAGAATGGTCAGATAGATTCCCCTAGGGAGGAGCCTGTTGTCATGGAGACGCCAACAGAGGTCTCTAATACAGATGAGAGTTATGAAGATAATATTCCAGTGGCTGAAATAAGACATTGTCTATTTATAAGAACTGATCCCCAATTATTTGAAGCAGCTGGTGATAATATAGGAATATTTGAACACAACTATTTAGCATTAAGAGACACGTGCTCTCAGGTTACTCTATGTCATCCTGATATCATCCCTCAGAGGCACATTATACCTAATGAACGTATGACTATCAAAGGGATTGGGAAAGAAATGGTAGTTTTGCCTGTAGCAGAAGTTTTAGTTCGATATAAAGGATGGCAAGGAAATTGGCGCGTTGGAATTTCCTTGCAAATACCTTCAGCAGTACTTCAGCAAGTTCTTTTATTTTGAAATCATACATTGGCCTGAAGTATTATTTGAGGGAATGGTTGGTGGCAGCGTGAATTAAGTGTGAGTGAGTGTGACGTAATAGCCCCTTTGTGACGCATGAGGAGGCTGTTACAGTACCTTTTGTACATCTGCAATGGTACCTTAAATATTTAGTGTAAGATATCTCCTTGTTATTTGCACCATTTCAGATATCTGTGGAAATTAAAATTGTGTTAAAGAGAAAATTCCATTTTCAACTCCCATTTCCAATCTTGGTCATTACTTGTCTCTCCCAACTTCTGGTACTACCAACTCTGAATAAAAAGGTTCCATCTAGTCATCACTGCTGAACAGCGTAAGAGCAGCACTGGATGGACTGAGATGACAATTGTGCTGGAAGTGCCTGACCAGAGTTTCTGGATACACTAACTTCAATTCAATATTACAGTGCCTGTGCAACATAAACTGTTAAGTACTAGCTACTCTTTACCTGTGGCTCTCTTGTAACATCTCTGTGAGCTCCTGCATCTTCTTAAAGTGTTCCTTCGAACTAGCATTCTCGTCAGTTAACGCCTGGTTGTGATGTTCTTCTAAAGAAAAGGAAAGGAAAAATGAAAGGAAAAGATAATTAGTCTACAAATCGGCAACTGCCGTACACAGAAAAGGTGGCAAAATCTGAGAGAGAGAAGAAGGGTTCAAATGGATTATCTCATTCAGCTCCACATTTTTTATGTTATGCAGAAGGACAATTTAGGAAGAGTAGTTCCCTCCACTCAATCCAATAGGCAGGGACAATGAAAATAAAGTAGATTCCGGCCTTTAAATAGTTGTACATGCTATTTCTTCTGTTTAAAAAGTCCCCTTCTCAAGGTGTTGTGCCAAACTTCACTGTGCTTTAAATATATGGAGATCAAAATTTGCTCATTGTTACTACAATGGAACAATTTCAAGGTTAGGCAGGGGTTTGGAGATTTCCAGTTTGAAGAATAGCAGATTTTACAAGGTTCACAATTACATTCCAGTGGATTCATTTCCATATTCCTCATTGGCTGAAGAATAACGTTTCTTCCAATGGCCCTAACACTTACTCAGATACTGAGAGCCAGTCTTCTAAACATATGAAGTGACAACAAATTAATAGTTGGCAATGGAGACCTTCCTGCAGCAAACAGGCCTATCTACTGCCAGATGACAATCTGAATTCTCTGTATCAGACTGAAACTGTTAAAATGTTGACACTACATCTCCCAGTATCCTCTAAATCAGTGGTCCTCAACCTTGGGCCTCCAGATGTTCTTGGACTTCAACTCCCAGAAATCCTGGTCAGCAGAGGTGGTGGTGAAGGCTTCTGGGAATTGTAGTCCAAGAACATCTGGAGGCCCAAGGTTGGGGACTACTGCTCTAAATAACATGGCTATAATGCTCTACTTATAATTCATTGGTCTCTTCTGCTACTGTTTGATGAAAAGCACATGGAAAACAGAATCACTTTTTATATATGTTAAATGACCATGAAATTACTTGCCTGCAGGAATCATAGGCAGAGATGGGCACAAACTTCAATGCCATGCATACCCAATGACCCACTCACCAGTCAGAGTGCGCTCCTCTCCTCCTCGTCTTCAGCTGTTCAACCAGTCCTTGGCAGGAGCATGGGGTTGCCTGTCCTGGCTCCTTGTCTGAGTGGGTGATCAGTCAAGGAGGTGGAGCAGGGAAGCCTGTGCTCCTGCTAGAGACTGGTCAAACAGCCGGAAGAGGAGGAGAGGAGCACACGCTGGCTGGTGAGTGGGGGATCCAGCAAGGGAGGTAGGGGAAAGAAATGTGCAGTTCATGCCTATCTCTAGTCTTGGGTACAGAAATGTGAATTTAGCCAAGCTCTCCCAGTTTCTGGCATTTTGTTCACAAAAGTAAAGTTTTGTTCCCACCTGCCCTCATACTGAGAGAAGCTGATTTGGCTGATAATTAGATATGAGCAGGGAATACTGGAAAACACATCAGTTAATGGAACTTTGGCAGGTGACAGGATATAAACTCAGAGTATAAACTGTCATGAATACTATAGCTAAATCTTAGTTCACTTGTAAACGACAATAAAGCTTTGTGGCTAAGTGTGATCTATCAGGCCAAATCTTACCTTAGCCACAAGCTAAGCAGATACTATAGCTAAATCTTAGTTCACTTGTATAGCGTACACTTTACCGGAACAGCAATAAAGCTTTGTGGCTAAGTGTGCTCTATCAGGCCAAATCTTACCTCAGCCACAAGCTAAGCAACCTTAAGTAACCTGCTGTTCTCTCAGCCTCTGCATGTTCAATCTACAATATTGCAATGAAAATAGGAGCATCCTTCGCAGTTATTCTAATGATTACATCCACCACTATCTTAGTGCTATGGTCATCTTTTGAAAAGGCATATATGAATAAAAAAAATTCTAGCTTAAAACAATAAATAACCTTGTTGCAGCTTCAATACCAACATTAGGCTGTTTGTGATAAAGGGTGTTAGATAAATTAAAATAGATATTCAGACTAGCAGTGTAATTGTGAAGATGTCTTTCAGAAGGAGATAAAGAAGAACTTACTCCCAACCTGAGTATAAGACGTGGCTTAAATTTTGATTCTTCTGATTTCTGCTTCCTTAAAGCACATTCCTACACATAAACAATTCAGAAATAACCACTTTATTGAAGGGGGGCTGACCCCAAGCTAAGTGTGGATATGATTACAAATACACTCTGGTTCTAAGACAATTAAGCCAGTGGGCTTATGATTTAAACTGCCTGATAATGTTATACTATTAACACATCTAGCAGTTTACTGGATAGTAACAGATAAATCAGTGCATAATTAATCTGCTATATATCAGACTTCCTTGAATTTAAAATACATTAAATGTTCAATAGGACTATGAAATTGATAACATTCTTCCCATCCCCTAATACCATTTTGTTAAGTTACACAAAACAGGACAGTATTCTACCAGGACCTTTATGGGAAATGAAGTCTTAAATATTTTTTTCTGAAATTCAATCCAGATTTTAAAGAATATCTAAAGAAATGTCAATCCATAAATAAAATTACAACCAGCATTATTTAATTCACTTAGTCCCCCCATTAGCTGATAAACTTGCAATAATGAAAAAGTGTTATTGCTTTTAAGGATATGGGTTGTGTATTGCATTTCTGCATGTATGATACAATTTTGTTGATTCTTCCCACCTTGTAGCACAAATTCCTCTGAAGCTACTTTTAAGTTATAATTTGAAAAAAGACTGCAATGTATCCACAGGGCTGTACGAAATTTTTTGGTTCTGGGCTGGTTGGTTGGTTGATTTATTTCAATTACTTTAAACTTAAGAGAACAATTGTTGATTAGATTTCATAGATGTCATTCTGTACATGTTTAAGCACACTCATGAACTTAATAATCCCACACCTTTTCCCAAACACTCACTGGGGATCTGTAATGGTGCCGTAACAGCAGTATCTACATTCTGGGCATTTTGTTCAACTTTAGAATTCTGTACTTTCAAGGCTGCATTTTCTTTTAATAAGTTATCCAACTGCTCCTTCAATATGTCCTAATTTAACAGGTTAGGGTAGAAATGGAGGTGGGAAAGGAGAAATCAAAAATATAGAGACACTATTAGATTAAAATAATGATTTTAATTATGAAAAATTCTAGCTGGTTTTGATAAGGCAGTTCAAATTGAAAAAAGCAGCTCACAGAAAAAGCATTTATTAAGACATCACCTATGTGAAGTAATAAATTCATCTATGAACTCTGTGCAGGGAATGCTAATACAATACAGATGTAGATAAGAGATAGGGCTTTTGGCATTTCAGTCACTCCTAAAGCAGTGAGACAAAAATCTTGGTGCAAAACTAGTTGGAAGAAAACAAACAATGACTAGCCGAAAGACTTCCTATACCGAAAACACTTCCTCTTACACTTATAAGAATATACTTGCTGATGCAACAGAATTGTCAAGACCACCTTATCAGCACATCCATAGTCTTTGGGCACTGAGGGTTGTGATGGCACACCACACTGTGACTCAACAAGTAAGCAAAGCTGTAAAATGGAACAACATCCAGGAAAACTACTAGGATCTCCAAAAATCATTTCCTCTTCAGCCATGTAAGAATCTCAATTAACTATTCCTTTTGCCACCTTGTGAACCTGGAAGAAAAGCCTTCAAATCCAATGGGGAAATTACCAAGTCATGAGCTAGGATGCCTCAGGATTCTGGTGCCACGTTGCTTGGTTAACATCAGCTTGATACAAACTACAGTGGTGCCTCGCTCAGCGATTGCCTTGTTTAATGATGTATTCGCTTAGCGATGAGGTTTTTGGAGCGATTTTGCGCTCTGTTTAGCAATGTTTCCAATGGGGAAATTTCGCATAGCGATGTTCGGGACCTTGTATTCCAATGGGGGAGAAAGAAATTCACCAAAAATTAACAAAGACTCAGAACAAAGCCAAATTAAGTTTGCAAAGGTTTTACAAGGTGCACTAACGATTCCAAGCATTTTAAACAGTTTTTGAACATTTTAAGACACTTTAAAAAAAGCGAAAACTGACCTGTCAAAACCACTGAAATGCATTGAAACCTATTCAATGCATTCCAATGGGAGAACCGCATTTCACTTAGCGATGTTTCCTATGGCGATTTTCGCTTAAGGACGGTAATCCGTTCCCATTGGAACGGATTATCCGGTTTTCAATGCATCTCTATGGGAAAACGCGTTTCACTTAGTGATGTTTTCCCATAGCGATGGGTTTTTTTGGAACCAATTAAAATCGGTAAGCGAGGCACCACTGTAGCTGCTTCTGTATTGAGATCTCCCTTCATACGTTCCACTCTCAGCTTCAGCAAGCCCGTGCCCTGCTCTACTGCTCTCGGTCAGTGCATGGCTCATAGTGAGCAGCCGCACCCCAGTGGGAGACACACGTACTACTGTATGTGCCCTTGTGGCACAGTAAAACCTAGTTGATGACTCCTCCACAACAGAGAAGAGCTGTGAAGGTTGAGGAGAGCTGAGATGAAGAGAAAATTCTCTTCTAGGCTGCTCTGAAAAGGTAAAAACCAATAGAAGAGCATAGGTAGAAATATCTTATTCAAAATGGGAAGAAATGAGAATTTCTCAGAAGTGGAACTGAGGCAGGAAAAATACTGGCTTTCAATATTGTTCTCTTACGGGGAAGGGGATCTCAAAGTTTCATTGGTTTCATCTCTGCCTATCAGAGTGAGTAGGAAGAGAAACCCATCCTAGGATGTCCTTCTCCACAGAGAGAGAAATCTACTAGATATTGTAAACCCTAAATCCTTGCAAAGGATAGACAGTTAAGTCAAAAATAATAAAACAAAATTCAAATGCTATTTCCAGCAATTGAAGATTTGACACCCTGTTATATCTTACAATTCTGCACACACACACTGAAATCATAATCACTGAAAGAAAATACTGCTCTGAGCTTACCATCTCTTTCTTACTGTTATCCAAGTCTGATTTCAGACTATTAATCATGGCACTGTACTTCTCCTCTTGTTCAACCAGTTGCTTTTGTAAAGTGTCTTTCTCTAAAAGGAGGTTATTCAACTGTTGATTCTCTGAAGTAGACGTTTTCTTTTGATTTGCTGGCACAGATTTCTGAATTCCAGACAAAATAGTTTCTGCCTGGGCTAGGAATGAAAAAAGATTTGTTTGAGTTTAAATGCATGGGCTTGGGAGGGATAAACCTGAATCCTTCTTACCTTTTCATTGTATTACAACTTCAGTGATGTTAATCAAGCAAAGGGCATGCATGTGCAATAAAGGCGTGCATCTCTATGCATCTCCAACTTTGCAAGTGTTGGAGAGAATGATGGGAGAAGCAGGGTCATTCCTGTCCTACAGGAAGCAACAACAGCATTCAGCTCAAGTAGTGATTTGGCATGTACGAAGGGACTAAGCCAATACAAAGAAATGCTCAGTCTCAAAATACGTTCTTACTTACATAAAAATTTCTTGTTGTGATGGAGGGATTTATGACCATTCCAGTGTATGTCGACCAAATCTAAAAGACGTTCCATGGGTCCTGCTTTACAGAGCATTTTATCTGCCAACTGCATTGTCCCTTGAGGAATGCCCTAAAATAGATAAATAGTTCTTCAACACAGTAAAGACACAACTAGGCAAAAGAATCCAGCAAAGATTGTTTAGGGATGAAATTATATACTGTATGTTGCCTTTTCACTATTGTAAATGAACCCTCCAGACCTAAGATAACTTAAGACCAAACCCAGAACTTCATGCAGCTTGTAGGCTGACACTGAGGGAAGAGATGCAACAATGCAAAAGGTCATACTCTGATACTCAGATGAATATTAATACGATTGTCTGAGATTGTTTGATGTCATTCTGGGATTAAGCTGTAATTTGGAAAATGCCAGCTATGATGAACACAGGCTTCCGATCATTTCCTAGGGGGTCTATATATCTCTGTAGGACTCCTGAAGTAGTCAAAAGCACCTTATCTAGGGGTCTGACATCTGTAATCATAAAAATATCATGTTTGGAAAAAATACACTTTTTGCTTTAGATGGTAGATTCAAGATGGTGGACACACTTTATGTAGGGCTACTTCTGGAAAGTGTCAGGAAATGTCAGCAGGTCCAAAACATGGCAGCCAGACTGCTAACTGGGGCTGGTTAAAGGGATCACATAACTCAACTATTATAGCAGCTCCACTGGCTGCTGATCCCTCTCTGGGCACAATTCAAAGTGCTGGTTTTAACCTATGAAGTACTAAACCAACCAGCGATGGCAAATCTTTTTCAGCCTGAGTTCTGAAACTGCAACACAAAACCAACTTATTTATTTCCAAGTGCCAATACTGCAATTAAACCTGAATACTGAGGTCTTAGTTTAGAAAAAACAACAACAACTGCCCTTGCACTGCAAGGGTTAAATGCTTGTGTTTTTCCTAGGGGAGGTATTAACAGAGAAATACTTACCAGTCCTCCAATCCCCCATCGGGCTAGACCAGTAATGGCCACCATTACACCCCTCAGCTCGACCACTGCACCAGCAGAAGGGAGTACTAAAATCCGGGATTGGAGGCCGGGTAAGTATTTCTCGATGGCAACTTATGGCTTATGTGCCTGCAAAGAGAGCTCTGTGTGCCAGCTGTGGCATGTGTGGCATAGGTCTGCCACCGCTGCCCTACACAGTTAAGGTCCAAACTATCTCAAGAACAATGTCTCCTATTATGAGCCTGCTCACATATTGAGATCATCAAAATACACCTTTCTCTTGGTCCCACCACCTTCACAGGTGTGTCTGAAGGAGACACAGGAGAGGGTCTTCTCTGTTGCTGCTCCGAGACTTTAGAACTCCCCTCCACAGGAGGCCATACTGACTCCATCTTTGCTATCCTTCCACAAGCAAGCAAAGACCTTTATCTTCAGGCAAGCTTTCCTTCGGTGACTAGCTGCCTGAGTGGGATTTTTTAAATGTGTTGTTAGTGCCTTACTGCTTTGAATGTGTTTTTAGTACTGTTTTGTTTTCTTAGAGTGGTATTGTTGATTCTTTTTAGTATTTGTATACCTACTGTTTTTAGCTTTAAATATTGTCTTTTAATTATGTAAGACACCTTGGGTCTTTTTTGAGGAGAAAAGTAGGATAAAAGTGTTTAAACAAACAAACCTTTGCAGGAATAATTTGCAAATAAGTCCTAATCTTTGGCTAAAATCCTGTTGCACAGTTATGCAAAAAGTGTAATTTACAGTGGGAAGTTGCTTAAAGTTACGAAATATCTGTAGGCATTATCTCTTGCATACCAAATCTTAGTGAGCAACAGATAATGTCTATGCAGATTTCTTAACTTGTGGCCATTTGCCTCTTGGTTATATCCTTTGCATAACTGTACAACAGGATGTCATCTTTTATGTGGGCTGTGCAAATCAGAAGGAATCAAGTAAGTGTCAGTGGTACATTTCTATGATTTGTTTCTGAAAACCAGAAATTACTGGCATCCACAGAAGTGGATACTTGGGAGACAGTGATGGAAAATGGCCCCTGGACTCTCCATAGATGTCCACCTCCACTGTATATAAATACCATCTGAGGATTAGAGACTCCAAACTTATGTTTAAATGCATCTCTGCACTCATAAAAATAAAATAAAAACAATTCAGTGCACAAAAATTCTTGCAGTAGGATTGTGACCTAGCCAAAAGATTAATATTAATGTTTATGCCTGTAACGGGCAGCCATAGCATCACCTGTCCGTCACAGCTGGGAGGGAAATCTCAGCCAATGAGAGGATGGAGGGTGGTGCAGAGGTGGGAGGAGCTGTGATATATAAGGTGTGTGTGAGGTGTGAGTGGGGCAGATTAGAGATTAGAGAATGACCTGAGATTTGAAAGTGTTGGTTAGTTAAAGTGAGTGAGAGAGCCTGTCAGTGAGGAAAATCTGTGTGAGCCAGGGTTTAAGGAACAGTGATTGATTAAGTGATTCTTAATTGATTCTTTATCAGTGATTCACTATTTTTATTTTTCTGTAATCAATAAACCAGATTTTGTTTTGAAAAGATACACTTGTCCTTCTTTTGATTTTTAAGGATAAGTTGGTGAATCCAGGATTGGAGGCCGGGTAAGTATTTGTGACCTAGCCAAAAGGTTAATATTAATGTTTATGCCAAACATTTAAAACTGAGGGAAAAATGAGGTTTGAGGGTGGCTGTTACAATGCCAAACATTTAAAACTGAGGGAAATGTGACTCCACTGACAAAACAAGCAGAACAGATACATTCCGAAATAGGACTTAATATGGAGGAATTAGGGTAAGGAGGGAAAGGGAAAGGAGGATGGGAAAGTTATTACAGTATTCCTTTAATTAAGCATTGCTATTTCAAAGAAACCCAAAAGGAAAATATTATTAACTGTGAAACTGTCCCAATTTATACCATCGCTAGAGACTGAAAACAAATGTGAACTAGTATAGATACACATCTTCTAGAAGCTTCACTATACCAATGTATTACAATGGACTCATGAAAAGTCACTGTATATAGCAAAAAGTACATTTTAGGTATTCTTTTCACTGTTCAGATTTAACACCTACACCTTTGCCATTTAACCTTTGATCTTCAGAGTCAGGTTCTTCCTGATTATGTCTGGCTGTCTTCAAAGAATTAAGTAGTTCATTCACATCTGGTGGAACTGCAGAAAAGGAGAAATATATAATGTTGAGCATAAATTATTTTATTCAAAGTAGAAATCCTGAAACCACAAAACTGTACAGGTTCCTCACAGCAGAAATGTTGTTTTGTGAATCAAGGGCACCAAAACTGATATGAATGAGACAGATTCAGTATAAACTAAACTATATATCTATATTAAACTAAATACTAAACTGTTTTTGAAATGGTTGCAGCAAATAATTATTTATTTTTCTAGATATGGAACTAATTTAAACATCATAACATCAGCTATTTGTTTCAGTGGAAGTTTATTTTCCCAACAGCTTTCTTTTCCAGAATGACTATTCTGACAGGATCAGAAAACTACAGGACTCAAAAAGACCTGAAGCTTATCTAGACAACATCACTAACCAATAACATAGGGCCAGAAACCATTTTATCAAACCCCAACCACATCTAACAGTAATTAAAACATAGTTAAAATTTGCTTTCCAAGCAGTACACTCATTCCTCAGTTTTCCTCTAACAGACTTCCACAAAATTTGCTAAGTAGAGCCAATTGCCTTAAGAGTTTGCCAGCCCGTACACACTAGCTTTAAAGGAAAATAGATCAGTTGAATAACAGAACCACTAAAATGGAAAAGACTTCAGAGATAATCTAAACCAAACATCTGTTCAGTGCAGGCTCTGCAGTGCAGGATGCAGCTACAGCATCCTTCATATTTCTATATCCATCACCTTAGTTAAAATTTGCTTTCCAAGCAGTACACCCATTCCTCTATATCCATCACCTCCTAAAGCACTTTCTTTCACTACTAACCTCCCCCCATTAAGATTTTCCCCAATTTGCTTTCCCCAAATTTTTTGTACCTCTCAACTGAAAGACTTGCCTGAGACAGAGAGAGATTACAGTAGTGGACATTATCCCCAAATTTTTTGTACCTCTCAACTGAAAAGACTTGTCTGAGACAGAGAGAGAACAGAAATCACAGTAGTGGACATTATTCTAAGATAGTAGTTCCCAACTTTGGGTCCCCAGATGTTCTTGGACTACAGTTCCCAGAAATCCTGGTTAGTATAGTAAGTGGTGAAGGCTTCTGGGAGTTCTGGTGCAAGAACATCCAAAGTTGGGAACCACTGTTCTAAGAACTTCAGAGGATCCTATGCTGGACTGGCCCAAAGGCTTCTCTAGTCCAGCACTCAACCAGGAGATGAGTGCAGTAGCAATCTCCTATGCATGCTGTCCATCAGCTGGTACTGCTTTTAAAACTGAATGCAATATATAGGCAAGTACAGGGCAGCTACTCAAAGCCTGGCAGAGGGAAATATTGTTGAGCAGAATGGGCTACAAAGTCATCAGCTACTCAAAGCCTGGCAGAGGGAAATACCTATTGTTGAGCAGAATGGGCTACAAGTCACTGATAATATGTCTCAGCTGGAGCTGTACGTGACTATGAATAACGTTATTTTACTCTCTGTTTTGGGTCTATCTTGTAGCAGGTTATTCCTGGGTACCAGTCTAGCTCTGTCAGTTTTTTCACCAAGATGTACTGTATTTTAATAAATGCCTGCTCTAATCCATGAGTACTGAAGCTCTCTCCTGTGGCTCTAAGCATATCCAGTTATAATGGGGAGCCTGACTGCAGACAATGGACTTGGCATGTTCTGGGTGGAAGTTGGAGGCATGTAAGTATGTGCAGCAATCAGTGGGTTTTTGATATTTTGTCATTCTTATATGCCCTCTGTGTAGTTGTACAGTGGGATTCAAAAAGTACACGTCTGTAGTAGTTCACACTTAGATTGACACATTCTGGTGAAGTTTCTCCAGTAAATCCTTGCTATGAGTTTAGATGACAATAGAATCATAAAGGACTAGGACTGGAAGGGATCACAGAGGTCATCAAGTCCAGCACTTGCCAAAGAAGGAATTCCCTACCTAAAACATTCCAAACAGATGCGGATACAACCTCTTCCAAACAGATGTGCATACAACTTTTCCAAGGCAATCTATTCCACTGTCAAACATTTATCATGGTTAGAAAGTTCTTCCTAATGCTGAGTCGATAATCTCCTTTCCTATCATTTAAATCCATTATTTCGGGTCCTACTCTCTAGTTGCAGAAAACAAGCTCACTCCAACTACTATATGAAAAGCTTTCAAATATTTAAAGATAGTTATTATGTAACTTCTTAGTCTTTTCTTCCCTAGACAAAACATGTCCACCTCTCTTAACAGGTCCCATTGGATCTTAGTTTCTATATTCTTTTTCACCCTCATTGTCATACCCTTAATAACATTCTCAATCAATCTCAGGTGGATGTTCCAGGACAGCCATCAAAATGACTATAGAGTCATATGTGTGCCCCTTTCTGTACCAGTAACCTAACCATACATATTGTTGCTGAAGGTGAAACAGTTATGTCTATAAAAGCAAAGGCAGATGATACCTTTATTACACCACTAAAAAGTAAAAATAAAAATAAATTGCTATCTTTCATCTTCATCAGGCTAGGCATCAATATAGTGTGGATAGGTCTTTAAAGTAAGTTGCAACTAGAATAGGTCCATTTGAACCAAACCTATGGAGGAACTGACTCCCCAAGTACCCGCTGATTCAATGGGGCTACTCTAGTATGACTTAATACACTAAGCAACAGGAATTCAGCCAGTTTAGTAGCCAGACTGTAGATATCCTTGACGAATTTAGTTGCTGGTTCACCTTTAGAGAATCATGTTGATCCTTATTCAGCAAGATCTATCTTTTGGTACATGCTATTATTTTATAATTTAATTCATCCAGAACAGACATCAAAGTATCTGTTCTGTAATTTCTTGGACTGCCTACTTGAAGCTTATTGGCCACTTACCAATACTCTGGAAAAGAGGCCACTGAGTTCTTTAGGAAGTTTTAGATGGAGACCATCTGGAACCACTGGTCTGACTTCTTTCAGTTTGTAAATAAGATATTAAAAATCATCTTTTGTCACCACTCTTTGCTTCAGCTACTAAAACATGCTATCTAAAAATATCAAACACATACATATTTGTTCTATATCGCCCATAAAGAAACAAAAATGTCCCTGAAATATTACCTTCCTATAAAATAAATCAAACGAAAAACAGATAGTATTCTATTCTATTCTATTCTATTTATATTTCTTCAATTTACAGCCTGCTTCCATTAGTTCCAAGGGACCACTCTGGGTGGTTACAACAAATAAAATACAAAACAAAAAATAAAGATAAAAACATTAAAAAATAACTATAATTAAACCTTAAAAACAGATAGCACAGACCAATCACATAAAACCTGAGTGGATGGAGGAAAGAGGAAGAGGGAGAAAGGTGGTCAGCTTGGGTCGGTGTGGAAAGCCTCCCTGAAAAGCAACATATTTAATTGCCTTCTAAATATCAACAGGGAGGGGGCTAGGCGGAGCTCCTCCAAAAGCTGGTTCCATAAGGTTAGATCCACCACAAAGAAGGCCCTCCCTCTTGTAGACAATTTATGGGCCTCCCTTGAGGTGGCTATTCAGAGGAGCCCCAACTAAGATTATCTTGTGGGTCAGGTGGATGACATTAAGGAAAGACACTCTGACAAGTAATATGGGCCCAAACCATGGAGGACTTTATATGTGTCAAAACCTTGAACCTGATCCAGGACACAACAGGCAACCAGTGGAAGCAAGCCATAACCAGAGCAATATGGTCAAATTTACTCGCACCCACCACCAGTCTGGCCACCATATTCTGGACCCACTGAAGTCTCTGGATCAGGCTCAAGGAGAGACCCATGTAAAGACCACTGCAGTAATCGAGCTGGAAGGTGACCAGGGCCTGCACCAAATAGGTAGAGGAGGAGTTGGGTAAATTGCCTAAGCTGGTTAAAGGTTGATCTGGATGTGGCTGCCATCTGGGCCTCCCAAGAAAAAGCCAGGTCCTGAAGAATGCTCAGGTTGCACACTTTATCCCTTATTCTCTTGTCATCCACACTGGAGCACCCCAGGGCATCTACAAAAGTGGACATCTGATTTATATACAGTGGTGCCCCACATAGCGACAATAATCCGTGCAGCAAAAATCGTCGCTATACGGATTCGTCGCTATGCGAAATATAAAAGCCCATAGGAATGCATTAAAACACGTTTAATGTGTTCCTGTGGGCAAAAAACTCACTTTTATGCGAAAATCCTCCATATGGTGGCCATTTTAGCTGCCCGGTAAGCAAGGAATCTGTCCCTGTTTTACGCAGAGGCCATTTTGGAACCACCGATCAGTTGTTGGGAAATCATCGTTATGCGAAAATCAGTAAGCGAAACAGCTTACCAATCATTGTAAAGCGATTTTTTCCCATTAGAAACATCGCAATGCGATCGCAAAAACGATCGCAAAAACTTAATCGCTATGCGGATTCGTCGTTAAACAGGGCGCCTGTTAAGCGAGGCACCACTGTATAGCCCAACATGTCTAGGCTTAAACTAAACATTATATAAACTGCAGTTGTTCAAGGTACACAATCTGGGTTCAGTACATTAAGGTACCAGTGCTAAAGTGACATCCAGATGTACAGCTGGCAGATCGGTCAAAGGCGTCAAGCTTCAGGGAGCAGGGCAAGGTGATGCAATTCTGATTCACTTTCCCATTTATATTCCATCCATTTCAAGGGAGCAGCCCAGCCACTGAGGGAGCTCAGTGGGTGCTCCCAGGCTTTGAAATGCACTGCCCTGAGAAGCCAGTTGCCGGACGATGGAAAGACAAAGGGGGGGGGGGCAAAGATGTTCCTTTTCAGGCAGGCTTTTAAACAATAAGTGGGGGGTTTAAGGAATGCTCTTTCTGAAATTTAAGTATTTTCAAATGTTTTAAAAATTGTTTTTAATCTTTACCAATGTTTAATTGTATTTTAATGGATAGTTTTGTATGGTATTTTTAACTTTTTATTGTATGATTTTAATTGTTGTGAGCCGCCTTGGGTCCTCTTTTTGGAGAAAAGTGCCATCTAAGTAATGTATGTATATACGCATGTATCTGATAGGCATCTGGGAAGGAAAAAGACACTTCCACCCTTCAAGCCCACTATCTTGAGAACACAGAAGCATCAAGAATAATGAACTCAACATTTCCGATAGAAATCCACATAGCAAAGCCACAAATCAGGAGTGATTAATCTGCAGACCATGGCTTGGCTGCAGACCATGACCTTCTCTCTTTGCTCTATGTGTACACAGTTACAAATTGGTGCTTTCCCCTAAGCAGTTAGTGTTGAGAAAAAAGATCAAATTCGCAAGAGTGGAACCCTTTTTCTGGATCTTGTGTAGATTTTTGGGGTGGGCAGAGAATGAAGAAAGCAAGCATTGAGAGTGGGGATGAAAAATATAGGGAGACATAAATAAAAAGGGTGGTCATTGTCAGCTCCAGCTCTGCACACTTTTGGCTTCAACCCTGTCCACTCCTGGTATGCAGCTCTCAAGATATTTCACGAGTGCATGTGGCTCTCAACATTAACTGGTTTCTCCACCCCATGGCTGTGCCAGCCTGCAGGGATTTTAAGCATTGCAGCTGAAAAAAGAACTTTTTCGATAGCTTGACTATGAGGTGCCTGTACTATTTATCCTCAAAGGATGAGCTGATCATCCATATGGTAAAGTATTCTCAAAGGCTTTTATGGGTGGCATCCAATGGTTGTTGTAGGTTTTCTGGGCTGTTTGGCCGTGTTCTGGAGGTTTTTCTTCCTAACGTTTCACCAGCCACAGAGACTGGCAAAACGTTAGGAAGAAAAGCCTCCAAATCACGGCCAAACAGCCCAGAAAACCTACAACAACCATATAATAAAGGTAATATACTGGGAGTTCAGTGCAAGTAATGAAAAATTTCATGAAATCATTGTAATTGAAAAATAATATTGTTCAAAGATGGTAAAATGAAGTACATGATCTGCATAATCCACAAGGTGGCACCATTTATATTTTTAAAATTAGAGAATGGCCAAATAACATCTGACAAAATGCTTTCCAGGGTATTCTGACCACATTCATTCATTCATTCATTCATTCATTTATTGGATTTCTATCCCGCCCATCTAGACCAAAGGTCTACTCTGGGTGGTTTACAAATTTAAAAACAATAAACCAGAAACATATAGATCCAAGGTGGAAAAAGTACTGTATAAGAAATCAAATGAATTATTATGGGTGGTTTACAAATTTAAAAACAATAATCCAGAAACATATATTATAGATCTAAGGTGGAAAAAGTATAAGAAATCAAATGAATTATTATTCATTTCAGAAAATACATTGATGGTCAATGTAACAACCAGAGTAAAAAGGTCACTAAAGAAATCCTTAAGTTGGTTTACACACCACTGCAAACTTTGTTCAGGTATTTCTGGGGTCAGACATGTTGAAATTAAAAAACACAATAGTTACTGTAGCAGAAGAAGGAAGCACCAAGGTAGGAGATTGACAGCTGAAGTCTCAGTGCAAGTGAAAACCACCCCTGGAAATTCCAGTTACTGAGCAACTGGAAAGGCTCAAGCCAACCTCATCAAACTCTATATATCCCTGTTCACCTAAATGAGGAACAATTTTACATCAAGGTATGGCAAAGGGAAGGTGGTATATTGCCTATTAAATTGGTTACATTCGAGATTCTCTCTGTGACGTTCACCCCGTGCCCTGTTTGTTTCCTACAGACCACAGGCCCACGCTAGTGACGTTCTTTTGCTGCCACCAGTGGATTTCTTTTATCCACAATGTAAATTATTTTTCTCAAACACTGGCTGCCAACAATTGGGAGTTTTTATTAAAGTTACAGATGTTGTTTACTCAGAATCACAATCATTGGAATGTTATCTTTTGTTTACTTACCTTGCCCATGGACCAGAGCACGCCAGGCCCTTATTTACAATTTAACAAACTTATGTATTTACTTGTTACAACTCACACTTCTAACTTTGACTATCTAGCTCTGTCTGCAAATCTCTTTATTTCATTTCTCTCACTCTCTCTCACCAGACTCTGCCTCCCCCCCAGGAGTGACGTGGGCATCCGCCACACTCCCCTTCCTATTTTTTCTTTTCAACAGCTAGCTGCCCTAGTCTTCACTACACTTATGACTGAGTTTGTGTGAGAATGTGGGATGGATGATTGACTCTGTTACGTGGGCTTTGATTGGCTAGGACAAAGCAGGGTTAAGGACTATCTCTCCATTATTTTCTATTTTCTTTTAAATGTCTGACTTTATTTGAAGAACCTTTTTTTCTTGCTGCACATAACTGTATGTACAGTATGTTCCAGAGCAGCACTTTGATTTATGGTAGATCATGAACACACTTATGCAACCCAGGACACTGGCTAAGGACAGTAAGGGTACACCTCCTCCATCTTGAAGACACATTTCCTCCTGTATTCTTTGTTACTTTGTCATTTACTGTTTAGTGCTGTGCAAAAATACCACAGAAGCATCTTCTGTCTGAACTCACAGAATACCTGACCCCTTTTTCTCAGTAGAACAGAAAAGCTTTCGTGTGTCACCAGCTTTACTTTCAGAGGATCCAGGGAAAATTATCGGCTGGGCAACAGTAACCAGCATATATGGGGGGATTCATGAAAGGACACAGTTCCCATAGGGAATGGAGGGAGATAAGGAAGTCAGTAGGAGCTTTTCTTACACTCTAAAGGTTGACAACATTCCCAGAACTAATGGCATTGTGTAGCATCCCACATCCCAGGCCATTCGCCTTTGTCCTCATCATTTACAGTCCTCCTCATCTAGTTGGTCCTGCTCTAAACAGAAAATATTCAGACACATATCAATTTAGATTATATTCACACATCCCTGAATTGAATTAATTTGTGTCTTGACATCACAATGCTCTGTGTCTCCTCAGCCCTGCTCAATATTAGTGTGATGTCGACACTGTGACATCAAAACACAAGTAAGTTCTACAAAACATTATTTATGGAGTAGAAGGTATTACTGTAGCTAGAAGTTAGTTTAACATATAGGTTCCTTCTTAGCAAGGCCACAGCAGCAATTCAAAACATTACCTGGATGGGGTGTAAAATCAGCATAAGTTGTCATTACTTCATCTGCTTCAGTGTCATCAGGAAACTTCAAATTAGCATTTCTCTTGAGCAGTTCCTGTTGCTTAGTTCCTAAAAATGCAACTCTAACGCCAATTTTCCTTTTCTCATGGCCTTGGCTAAAGGCACTGTGGGCATCTGGTAAAACTGGTGAATCAGGCAAACGTCTGTAGTCTAGATTAGGGGGGTGGAGTTAGGAGAACACAAATTACTATTTCCTTATATTTATTTATACTTTATTTTACAAATGTTAGCGTATAATTTGTTCTATAGTCCCTCACTGCCAGGAAGTAATGCAAGTACATATATTTGAATCCTAAGTGAATAACCCATTTTACAAAGTAGATAAACAGGAAGAGCTTAGAAAAGGTTTTTCCCCCAGAGCTCTTAAGTAAATTTGACAGATGCACCTAGGCATAACTAATGAATGAAATGTTAATAAAGTTTAAATCACTAAATTCACACAGGAATTGATAAGACTAAACACCAGTTTAGAAAAATTAGCAAAATTACTTGGCAAAGCCACTCCAGAACTGAACTTCTTTAGTGAGCAAGTGCCAGATCTTACCAAGAAAAAATACCTTCTACATAGAAACCAGCACATCAGAAGAAACTGTTTAACTTATCTGTCTTATGCTTAATGAGATTATGTCTGTGGGATTGCATTCAACGATATGAACAGCCTGAAATGTTTGTCCAACATCAGTTTTAACATGCAATGTTGACAGTTGCATGTGTGTGTGTGTGTTCTGTGCAACCGGTTGGAACCAACTTACAGTGACCCTAATGGGGCTTTCAAGGTAAGGGAGATATTTAAGGAGTAGTTTTATTAGTTCCACTACCTTATTTAAGGAGTAGTTTTATCAGTTCTACTACCTCAGTTTCCACAGCCAAGTGGGGATTCAAACCCTATTCTCTAGAGTCCTAGTTCATCACTCCATTCACAACACCACACTGGCAATCTTCTCCCAATTGCATACACCAGCTCCAAAAGAGCAATTTCACCCTATTTACAGCAAGTGTGCATGCATCTTTTTCTGGTAGAAGCAAATACCTTCAGTATATAAAGAAAGCATGCATTCAGAAATGCAAGGAAGCCATCATCAACTGGAGTTGCATAGTACACAGCTAAAGTATACTTACAAACACCTTCTCGCTTCACATTGTTTGTGATTTCATATGGCAAACACTTTTCATGCAATGCATGAATCAGAGTTAACTTAATATGAATATGACCTTAACTGAATTTACTGACTAGATTACAAGCTATGATACATTATTCCACCATTAATTGTTTTCCTACCCACTTCTGCAAAGGAGCCCTCTTTGGAAAAGGACTTAGAATCCTTAGCAACCAGTCACCTCTAGCAACCCCCTGAGCTTTAGGTCCAGGAGCAGTTTGAGACGTATGAGAGGTGTTCTATCTTCTAGCCAAAAAGAAAGGAAAAACTGTCTCAGAGCTGGAGCTATGCTCAAGGTCCTGAGACCATCAGTATTTAAATAGATGGGTGAGAACCTTGCTGCCTAGAAAAAATGTTGTGTTGCAAAAGCCAGACCTCATATCTAAGGGTCTCCTGACAAGGAAGCCTGAAGCTTGAGTGGCGTTTCGGCAGCTCCTGTTAATAAGTTTCAATATGACACTAGAGTGAAACATCTTTACTAACTTTGGACACCTCTCCCTAGCCTTTCCTGCAGATTCTCTGATGGAATCTCTGTGTGTGATTTCAGACTTTCTTTCTTTGACCATGCTTCTTGCTTGCTCCATGGCTATTACAACCCAAGAGATTCCTCTCAGTAACCTGAGAAATTCTCTTTTTGTCTATTGTCCATCCTTGCCTCTGCTGTATTATGAGGTCTCCACTGGTTTTGGACCTGGCCCACCCAAACCCTGCAACATGGCTGCACCTTCCTGTTACTAGCCAGGATTCTTGACTGCTGCCTACCATTCCTGATCCACTCCCAGTAAAAGCCCCAGGGAAAGCAGGACAATATCTACTCTAAGCCTAAACCTCTCACTTTAATGAAAATAGAAAAGAAACAACCAAACAAATTTGGATACAACATACCTTTATCAGTTTCTTTCATTTTTAACATGTTTTCATTTTCGGATACAGCATTCTAAAAAAAAAGGGGGGGGAGAGAAAAGTATAAAACTATAGTGCTCTAAAAGGTCTCATACAAATCTGTTTTGAAAGAATGCAGGTTTTCCAGGTTTTCAGATTCTTTCTTGAAATAAAATTAGATGGCTTTATTGGTCCTGTTCAGTACTGCAAAAAAAAAGTTACCAGAAAACATAAATACTGAATCAAATGCCAAATCCATACATTGTTTAGCACTCATGCCTATGTTCCTAAGGAATCCTGAGACGCCTCAAACACTTGTCATCCAGTAAGAAGAACCATATGCTTATTTGTTGCAACAGTTCCTTGTGCAGTCACCTGCCCATTCACACATATGGGTTCTGTTCCTATCCAGAACAATATTTTACAACCTTCCAATGTGGAATATTTTGGCTGGAACCCTGTCTTATGGCCTCCCTGTGCAAGCCCTGATAGAAGTCTGCAACTTATTTCAATGAGACCAGCACGGTAGACCAAACAATAAAGAAACAACACCAAGAAGGGAGAGCAAGCAGGTTATTGGAATGCTGAAATATTACCTTAAGCCACTACAATTATAGGTAAATGATCTGTTCTTCATCATTGTCTCACTGCATCACACAAATGGTTACCCTAGAAAATTTATCGGTGAGCAGGTGGGTAGATATATCACTATAGCAGAAATGAGACAAACAATAACAACTGCAACTCTACTGCTGCTTTGCAAACATAGATTTTAAAAGATAATAGACTGAAAGAACTGGGCATGTTCACCCTTGAGAAAAGACTGAGGGAAGATATGAAAGCACTTTGATTTGAGAGTTTGTCATATAGAGCAGAGGCAGGATCTGCTCTTATCCCACAGTGCACGAAGGACATGTAATAATGGGCTCAAGTTACAGGAAGCCAGATTTTGGCTGAATACCAAGGAAAGCTTCCTAACTTTTGGAGCAGAACAACAATGGAACCAATTATCTTGGAAAGTGGTGAGCACTCCAATACTGGAGACATTCAAGAGAAAATAAGACAACTATTGGAATCAGTAAACTTATAGGCCCCTTCCAACTCCATTATTCTGTGATTCTATGATATGGCAAGTGTACCACTTACAGTAATATTTCAGGTTCTATTGGTTGAATGCTTTCACAAATGATGAGGGAACAAAATTCAACTGAGTGGTCATGGTAAGTGCCTGCACAACCCTCTTTGCAAACCACCAAGAAGAAATAGATCCACCTCTTCTTATTGAGGATTTTCTTAATAATGTCTTCTGAATAATCATAAGCATGCACGCCTAAGCCAGTAAAGAAATGACTAAAAGTAATGAGATTAAGACGACAGTGCACTCAAGAATGGCTCTCAAGTCCCTTGAAAAGCTTGATGGTAGAGGTCCCAACCTCTCATTGACGCCACTAGTCATTCCTATATCAAGTATCTGTTTTCTCTATTCATGAGCAAAGGGACCGAGTTCTTCCAAATGGTTGATGCAGATGTCTTAGGAGAATTGTTCAACTGACTGGACAGCCTCTTCCCACAAGAGAAACTTTAAGTCTCCTGGCTCTGTACCAACTATGTTAACTTAATGAAGTGTCAAAAAGGTTTGATGAGATGTTGTTCTCCTAAGACAAAGGAGAAGTTGGCCATGCCTTTCTATGACAGGAATTTTCCCACAGCACACAGACCTCTCAAAGACCTCTTAAATAATCTATTAGAGGCCCAGGTACACAAAATTAGAAATTTAAGAAATATTTTTAAACACAGCATTTTTTTTAAAAAAAAGCAAAAAGAATGAAAGAAACACTGGAAGAAAAGACAACGTTCCCAGAAAATCAAGAAATGATTTTACATCAAAGAAAGGTTCTATACATGCCGACGCTGTGGTGGTTGAAGCAGCATTCAGCATAATGCCACTCCCAGCTTATTTATTTATTTATTTATTTTGTATCATCTGTAGACCACCTTTCTCCCAGTGAGATCACTGAAAGCACTCACAATGATAAAAGAAGTAAAATTAAAAACACAATAAAGTACAGATTGAAAAGCAATTACATTAGGACAATAATTAAAAATCCAATAATAAAAAAACATTTAAAACGTCAAAAACAAACTTAGAAAAGTTAGAAGCCAGCATCCAGGAACTCAGTCAGCATGGGGAAGAGAGTGGGGCACCCACTGAAACTCTTAAATTGTAGACATTTCTAAAGCAGAACTCTTCACAATCCCAGAACCTATGCACATGATACATAGACACTAGGGATATGCTTTTTTCTTTTTCTGGACTCCATCTCCCAGAACTCTCCATAAATTCCCCAGACAGAATTCTGGGAGTTCCAGGCCAAAGACCCAAATCTACAGACATCTACATCTCATTCACTTGGCCAGGGCTCCATGGCTCTCTTGGGCCTTGCTTCCTGCTGTCAATGTCCAAAAATAGGTGCTTCATAAATAAATACAAATATCCCCACACAAGTGGAAATAATGAGGGAAATAATGACTGTCCACTCATGATTTTGCCACTGCCACTGGCTCCATGGAGGCTTCCTAACATGCTGTTCTCTGAAATGGATTAGCCACTCTACAACGGCGCGATAGGAAGGTCTGACGAGCTCGTGTCAGCAGTGAAATAGTGAGTGGACAGTTATTTCCACCTGTGCAGGGATATTCGTATTTGCACTGCACTTACACAGGCATAAACATTTTATTGGATTCTGATCACTGACTCAATTGCCAAAATCCTATTGCTAAACATACTAGGCTCACTGAATCAATGCGGATTCTGTGAGACAGCTTATCTGTATGTTCTAGTCATTCAAATTTACCTACTCTTTGTCTTACTTCAGCATTGTAAGTTGCATAAGATTTACCAAAATGTTGAATTGCAATTCAGCAATTGATTCAATGGGTCTGCTGTCTCCTAATGAAAGGAACGTACCAGAATATCTGCAAATATAGTAAATTATTTGTATTCCAAGCAAAAAGTACATCCTCTTTAATCTTCCCTCAGACTTTCTGATAGCTATAATAGCTATACAGCTTCTGATAACTATAAAGTGGTGCCTCGTTTAGACTCAATTGCCAAAATCCTATTGCTAAACATACTAGGCTCACTGAATCAATGCGGATTCTGTGAGACAGCTTATCTGTATGTTCTAGTCATTCAAATTTGCCTACTCTTTGTCTTACTTCAGCATTGTAAGTTGCATAAGATTTACCAAAATGTTGAATTACAATTCAGCAATTGATTCAATGGGTCTGCTGTCTCCTAATAAAAGGAACGTACCAGAATATCTGCAAATAAATTATTTGTATTCCACGCAAAAAGTACATCCTCTTTAATCTTCCCTCAGACTTTCTGATAGCTATAATAGCTATATAGCTTCTGATAACTATAAAGTGGTGCCTCGTTTAGCGATTACCTTGTTAAATGATGAATCCGCTTGACGATGAGGTTTTTACGATCGCTTTTGCGATCGCAAAAAAAATGGCCAGCCGCTGTTTAAAATGGCTCCCCGCTGTACTTAGGACAGATTCCTCGCATTACAGGCACCAGAAAAGGGCCGTCCTATGAGGATCTTCACTGGACAATTAGTATTTAGCCGACTGGAATGCACTGAGCAGTTTTCAATGCATTTCAATGGGGTTTTTCCCCCTGCTTGACGACGATTTCGCTGGAACGGATTAACGTTGTCAAGCGAGGCACGACTGTAATAACTATCCCCTACGGCTCTTCTGAATTCTCCACAAATCCAGCAAAATATCATAGCTAGTGTGAAACCATGACAAATCTGAAAGTGGTTGTCACCATTTTAAGTTTAGCAACCAACAGATCTACTTGCTTAGAAAAACAAACATGTTCATGGAAGGAAGTGAATTTATGGGACTGCTCAACTATCTGAGGATAGCATTTGAGAACTGTGAATATTTTATTTAGAAATTGTATTTCATCCCACAGACATTTTCTATATTACAAAACATTACAATGTCTTTGTCTGGTTTCCTTTGGGAACTGTATAATGACTTAAGGGTATTCCTGGCACAAAATTGATACAATATAGGGTTTTATTTCTGTGTGAATTTTTACCTTGCATTTCTTCGTTAACAAGACAAACTGTGGATGTGAGACTTCTGACTTCTGATGCCTCCTAATACTTTCTTCCACTTTGTGAATACCTCAAGAAATAACAAGTTTCAAAAGTGACTTGGTCAGTAAAACATACAGTGGACCCTCAACTTACAGACTTTTCAAGTTACAGACTTCTCTGGCTGCAAAATTTAGATTCGACTTGCAGCCGGAGAATCGACTTACAGACCAGAAAAAAGCCAAAATGGAACAAAAATAGAATAAAAACTGCCAGTTATGGGATTAATCGGTTTTCAATGCATTGTAGGTCAATGGAGATTCGACCTGCAGACTTTTCGACTTGCAGCCACTGTTCCAATACGGATTAATTCTGTAAGTAGAGGGTCCACTGTACCACACATTCTACAGAATCACAAAATACTCTAACAATAAACAATACTGATGAAGAACAAGTGTTTTCCTTCTTAATGTTTTATTGTTTTCTTCATAAAAATAACTATGAAAAGGGCACAGCTCAATTCACATAGATTTAATTAAGAATCATTTGAACTACATTCATTTCTCCTGAAGAGAATGGCAAAATAGTCTCATTTTTAACAAGAGGCATTAATTCACCAATATTCCAAATCCTCAAATCAAAAGGCAAATTGTCAAGTTCACCATAAAGATTTATGAAATATCCCCATGTTATTAATTTTTATTGTTTGCTTGGTTTAGCTCACGCAAACATATACTTCCATTCCATTCTGGGCTAAGGAAGGAGCAAAAACTGGTCATGAAAGGGTAATTTATATTAGACTGTTGTACTCTATCCTGACAAACAGACAAGAATGGGAGTCAGTAACAATGTTCAGTATAGCCAAAAGAATGGTAACAGAAAGGAGTTAGTATAGAGATGAAAGTGATTTTCTCCTCCTTTGGTAATAAGACATTCTAGATATGTGAAAGCCAATATGATGCAACAGATTCAGTGATGAACTAGGACTGAGAAGGCCCAGGTTCAAATCCCCACTTGGCCATGGAAATTCAGGTGTGTGTGGTAATGATATAAAACTACCCCTTAATTATCTTGCAAATCTTGAAACCCCTATTTGGGTTGCTGTAAGATGGATGCTTTGACAGCACATCATCACTAGATCGTTTAAGTTAAAGAAGTCCAGAAGTATTCAAACATTCTGCAGTAATTTCTCTGAACACTTTTTTGAGCTTAGTTACTCATGTTTTTAGGACACACAGAGAAAAAGGAATGCGTTCAGAACCTTCTGAAAATTCTTCATTTCACATTAAGTTCTGCAAGTAATTCTAAGTGCTTTGAATGTGTCAGAACATGATCCAGATTACTTAAAACAGCCTTAAATATGAATGTGTCAGAACATGATCCAGATTACTTACTAAAACAGCCTTAAATATGTCAAAGAGTAAGTTGTTCCCTGAATCAATTTCAAGGGCATCTATCCACAAAAATTAACCATAGCTAAATAGAACTTCCTTACCTAAAAGCAGAATACCTCTGAATATGAATTGCCAGAGACAAATGATGGAAAAAGGCTGCATCTTCATGCCTTGCTCAGATACTTCCTAGAAGCATTTTGTTGCCCACTGCTGAGAGGAGGGACAGCAGGGACCTTATGATGGTCTTAATATTCATTTTAGTCAAGCAGCATTCTTCCTGACTACTACACACAATTTGTATCACAGCATCATAGGACTCTTTTCACAGTATGAAGCAGATAAAACCTCTCATGGTGATGTCACCACGATGGCATCACAATGCATAATGAAAACAGGAAAGACTCTTTTCACAGTATGAAGCAGATAAAATCTCTCATGGTGATGTCACCACAATGGCATCACAATGCATAATAAAAGCTCCCAACATATGCCATGGTCAGGTCAACATTCAAGAGTGCTGTGTAAGTCAGAAGCCTAGGACAGTTGCTGAGCCTAATGATTAGACTATTAGTAAACAGAATGAGTGACATCTCAGAAATGAAAAACCACATACTGTTTAAATCATGAAATTCAACTGCAGGATTTCTTTTAGACGATCCAGTTATTCCTGGTGGCTTATGTACATCCCAGCTGCACTTTGCAATGAAGTTCAAAACTGCTTCATCATCTTCATCCATGGCCAAGCACTTTTTTGACATGGCACTAATGTACTTGGCTCTTGGATGGACAGATCTGCATGAAAGAAACATAGTGGTAAGTAAGACATAGAGAGAGCCCCTAAATTTAAGCCTATTTAACACACTTCTGAGGAAGTACAGCAGATCAATTAAGGCATTAATGATGAAGACAAATGATACCATTGTAATGTTTTTCAAGCTTTTCCTGGATTACCAAAAAGCAAACATGATTTTAGAAAAAGCTGTGAAATTAGCTGGAGTACTTGGATTCTACCAAGCCTGCACAACAGGTAACATTCTGACTTTGCCTGCAGGATGAACAAAAACATGAGAAGTGATTCCTGGTCAAAGATTAACAGCTTGGCTCATTATAACTCAGTGCCAAAACAGCTTTTAAGTACTGTACTACCAAATCTGCCAATAAGTTTGTTTCCAACATAGACATAGTAGAGACTGCATATCTACAGGGACAGGCGCCAATTGTGTTTGGTTTCTACAAAGAAACCTCTCTTGGCATGTATGCCAAGAAGCACAGTCCAATGAGCTCAATATGGCATTGCTTTTGCACAAGTAAATGTGCATTGCCTTGTACAGAAATACAGTATCCTGACTGGTTTTGTTCCAAAAGCCTACTGAAGTCAGACAGCAAACAGAATTGTTGAGGGTGTCCAAGATTAGAGAAAATGTCCCTGTGGCAAAAGCAAGCTAAAAGGGAAGTGCCATGGAAATCCCCATTCCTCATTAGATTTTCCAAGGTATCTTCCTCTGCGTTCCTTAACCCCAGAATCTACTCAATATGGCTCAAATATCTGTAGAGTCTCCATCTTGGATGTACACCCTAAAATGGTGAGGGGACTTGAATGTGTCAAAAGAAGATGTGAGTAGTCCAAGTCTAGACTCCTAGTAAGGTCACACAAGGCAGAATGACCAAAGTTGAATAAAGACTAAGATGCATCCACATCTTCAGGATTAAAAGGCACATCAGCAAAAGAGAATGGATAGTTTTAATGGTAAACTTGAAACTGTAAAGCAAGAAATGCTATGTTTAAAAATTAGAGTACATGGTGTGAGGAAACTAAAGTGAACTGAAATAAGACATTTTTGTTCAGACAATTACAAATTATTTTACTCTGGCAATAACAAAATCAGAAGAAATGGTGTAGCACTAATAATAAGGCAAGATGTAGCACAAGAATTAGGAGCTACAATGAAAGGTCCGAAATGAATAAATAATCAGACATCTTGGAAAAACCTATCAACATAATCATCAGGTAGCCTTGCTGCTCTTTCAGCTCTTTAGAGAGTGCCCACTGAAGAACAACCACTCTCTTTTCTGTTCAGCACTGCAGCAGCTTTGGTTGGACAAAGCAAGGCCAAAGCTAGGTCATGGAGTCTTGGAACTAGGCAATTTTTCAGATTAGTGAAATGTTTAGGTGTCCCTAAGTTTGAGTTTCTCGACTGGAATTTCCAGAATTTTGTCTGGGGAATTCTTGGAGAATTCTGGCAGCTGGAGTTTTGTTTGTTTGTTTTTAATCCAAATGACACTTCCTAGTGATCGCATAACAAAACAAGATGCTAACCATAGGTAACTGGAATGCAAAAACAGGAAACAAAGCACAACCAAACGTTGGAGAATTTGGTCAAGTCAAAAACAAAGCATGAGAACAACTCATAGGCCAAAATCCTGTTGCTTCGCATAGTAAATGAGAGTAGAGTAAGCCCATTAAATCAACAGGGATTTTGTGTGTCAGCTTCTCCAAAAATTTCATTGATTCAAATGGGCCTACTCTAGCTGCAACTTACTTTAGCATGGTCATTTGAAGTTAAGACTAAGCTCACTGGAATTAATGGAATTTATGAGGAATTGACACACAAAACCCCTATTGATTCCATGGGCCTACTCTAGTGTTATTTACTACCCTAAGCAACAGGATTTTGGACACAGACAAGAATCTACTTCCGGAAGATACATTTTTCAGGCAACCAAACAGATAAGTGTACATATGGACATCATGAGATGGCTAATATAGATATCAAATAGACTACAGAACTGGAAAAAGCCTATGAAGAATCTGTTTCCTCTATGCCAAAATAAGACCAGGAGCAGATTGTGGTGAATTTCTGATAGATTTAAATTTCATATAAAGAACAGATTTGCATTACTAAACTATGATTCAGAAAAACTGTTGGTTGAAAGATATATTATCAGGGAAGAATGTAAAACAACAATGCCTTTAGTTGAAAAGCCTAGTTGGATAATGGAAGAAATAATTACATTTGCTAAGGACAAACAAGAAGCAGAAGTAAAGAGTAACAAAAATAGGATCAGAATCTGATTCATAGAAACAAAAAAACTACTGTATTAGAATTATCAGCACAAACATGAAAGAAACATAGTGGTAAGTAAGACATAGAGAGAGCCCCTAAATTTAAGCCTATTTAACACACTTCTGAGGAAGTACAGCAGATCAATTAAGGCATTAATGATGAAGACAAATGATACCATTGTAATGTTTTTCAAGCTTTTCCTGGATTACCAAAAAGCAAACATGATTTTAGAAAAAGCTGTGAAATTAGCTGGAGTACTTGGATTCTACCAAGCCTGCACAACAGGTAACATTCTGACTTTGCCTGCAGGATGAACAAAAACATGAGAAGTGATTCCTGGTCAAAGATTAACAGCTTGGCTCATTATAACTCAGTGCCAAAACAGCTTTTAAGTACTGTACTACCAAATCTGCCAATAAGTTTGTTTCCAACATAGACATAGTAGAGACTGCATATCTACAGGGACAGGCGCCAATTGTGTTTGGTTTCTACAAAGAAACCTCTCTTGGCATGTATGCCAAGAAGCACAGTCCAATGAGCTCAATATGGCATTGCTTTTGCACAAGTAAATGTGCATTGCCTTGTACAGAAATACAGTATCCTGACTGGTTTTGTTCCAAAAGCCTACTGAAGTCAGACAGCAAACAGAATTGTTGAGGGTGTCCAAGATTAGAGAAAATGTCCCTGTGGCAAAAGCAAGCTAAAAGGGAAGTGCCATGGAAATCCCCATTCCTCATTAGATTTTCCAAGGTATCTTCCTCTGCGTTCCTTAACCCCAGAATCTACTCAATATGGCTCAAATATCTGTAGAGTCTCCATCTTGGATGTACACCCTAAAATGGTGAATATGTCAAAAGAAGATGTGAGTAGTCCAAGTCTAGACTCCTAGTAAGGTCACACAAGGCAGAATGACCAAAGTTGAATAAAGACTAAGATGCATCCACATCTTCAGGATTAAAAGGCACATCAGCAAAAGAGAATGGATAGTTTTAATGGTAAACTTGAAACTGTAAAGCAAGAAATGCTATGTTTAAAAATTTGCCTACTCTGAATCTGATCCATAGAAACAAAAAAAAACTATTATAATTATCAGCACAAAGAACTAGAAGAGAATAATGAAATACAAATACAAAAGACAAGATATTTTCTACAAAATCCAAAAATTCAAAGGGAAATGTAAACCTAGATTAGAGATGTTGAAAGAGAAGATACTATCTGACCATAATGAAGGGAAGATGCAAAAATGGCAGATTTCTCTGAAGAAGATTCATATGATGAGAAAGCAGTTTTAGAAAGTCAAGTGAGACACTCTCAAAACACTTGAAATACATAATTAACTAGGACTGACTGAAATATAGAACTATTTCAAGTCACAGAAACTAGATACTGTATATCAAAATAATAACAAGAATATTTTGACAAATACAGAAAACAAAACATTAGACTGCAGCCTGGAAATGTTTAATATACATTCCAACTCTCAAGAAAGGCGATGCCAAGGAGTGTTGTAACTATACAACTTTTGTATTAACTTCCCATGCAAACAAACTTATGCTCAAAGTGATGCAACAATGGTTTTTACATTATACGGAATGAGAAATGACAGATGTTCAAGCTGGTTCTGAAAAGAAAGACGTGCTAGATATCGTATCAGAAATATAAGTTGGCTATAGGAGCATATCAAGAATTTTCAGAAGAAACTCACCTTGTGCTTTATTAGATCACAGCAAAACCATTGACTGTGAGTAATGAGAAGCTACAGCTTGGTCTAAAAGAAATGAGTGTGCCTCAACATTTGATTATCCCAATATATGACCTGTACTGTACTTTGGAGAAAAAAACTTCTTTCAGAAGAGAATACGGAGAAACAGAACTCTTTCCCATAAGTAAAGGTGTCAGACAGAATTCCACTTTATCTCGCTATCTGTTCAATCTGTATAAAGAACACACCATAGTGAAAGCTGGACTAGAGTCAGAAGGAGAAAGTCTGAAAATTAGTGGAAGGAATAGAAAAATAATATGAAGATGACACTATATTACTAGCAAAGAGCAATAGTTATCAGAAATGATTACTGATGAAGGTTGAAGAAAAAAAGTAAAAGCAGAGTGGCAGTTGAAAATAAAGAAAACAAAAGTATGTCCATAGAAAAATTACATGATTTTAATGCTAATGAAAAAATCAAAATACAGTACTTAGAAGATTTTCTGCATGCTGGTTTAGTCATCAATTCAGAGGGACACAGAAGGAGCTTCCCTGTGAGGACAATGAACAAATTTGAGCATCCCCAAGACAATTATAGCATTTGGTTGATCCTTCCACTCCAGAAGCACCATTTGATTGCTTCTAACATGAATAATGAAGATCACCAATCCAAGTGGAGACTGCTGCCAAGAAATGACAGGAAGACTGAGACTTGGAAGGCAGCTATGAAGTGACTAGAAAAGATCTTCTAGCGCAAGGATATGTCATCAAAATAGAACATGAAGATGATCTACTCTATCATACACCTGATTACTATACACAGATATGAAAGCTAGAAAGTGAAGAAAGCTAACAGGAAAAGATCAACCCATCTAAAATACGGAGAACTCTGCAGATACCATGGACTGCCAGGAAGACAAATAAGTGGGTTATAGATCAAATCAAGCTGGAATTCTCCCTAAAAGCAGAAATGGATTAGACGAAGGCTACTGTACTTTAGACCCATCATGAGAAGACAACTGAAAACAACCATAATGCTGTGAAAAGTTGAAGGCAACAGTTAAAAAGTAAAACCAAATAAACAACAGATTGACTTGATAAAGGAGGCCATTGCCTTGGGTTGCTGACAATAGTACCTTTTCTCACTGTCTCGCACAGGATGGTAACCTAAGCAACAACAGAATCAAAACAAAGCAGCACACTTTGCTTTACCTCTTGCTTTACCTTCACAGGGGCACAGTAAGTTGGAAGAAACTTGACAGCACATAACTTGTACAGCCCTCCCCATAATAACAACACCACAGCTCAAGCGTGCACATAAGCTACACTAGTTTTAACAGAGCGTAACACTGAGTAAACAAGTAAACAATCTCCCAGGCTCAGGAACTAGGGCCCTCCACCATTCAGGAGCAGGTTGTTTAAGATTGTGATTCCCAACCTTGGGTAACCCAGGTGTTCTTGCACTGCAGCTCCCAGAAACCCCAGCCACCACAACTGGGAATAGCAGTCCTGAATTAACCAAGGCAGGGAACCATTGTTTTAGGGCAATATAGCAACTAACTGCATGGGACTTCCCATTCTACTGTTAAAAACCCAGTCATTATAACTAAATACTTCCACAATCACATGAGTACAACTACTTGAATCCTTCTTTTTTCATACCTTCCTGTTTCAGACTCTTTTAAAACAGATGAAGAGTTCTTGAATTTATAAGCATGATCTGTAGTGAAATGCAGAAGTGATGCTTTCCGCTCACTGTCTCTCACAGGACGGTCATCTAAGCAACAACAGAATTAAAACAGAACAAAGCCAGATGATAATATTAAAATGTAATGAAATATAAATACACCTTAAGAAAATACTCTGAAATGTGCAAGACTACCTTTCTAAATATAAAAATGTTTTGCCTATAAACAATAAGAGGATATTCAGTTATCATCATACCCCTAATTCACAGGAATAGAACTTTTTGGAGGAAAAGATTGACACATATTTTCCCTAAACCAATTGATCTTCTCGGTGTAAACATGACTAATGTTACACAGGACCTGGCTGAGCCCTTGAAATGATTCTTCAACTGCATCTGAGAAGGTAGACAAATATAGTGCAGCATCAAGAATGAGAAAACAGAGTAAGTGAGGCTAATTCCAAAGGTATGAATATAGTACAGTAGGTAAATAAATTGAGGTTAAAAGGTTTTTTAATTCTGTCAGGGTCGATCTAATTGCAGGTGGGCTTTGAATTGGTAATAACTATTCAGGATTTATCCCTACAGGATTTTCTCCTCTCACTCTAAAAAGCAGGGACAATTTCACCCTCACCTGAAGAAAGTAGCAATTGTCCTTTGTGAACAAACAGCATACATAATGGCAGGAAGGGAGAAGAAAATGATGAGACTGCACAAGGAGCAATTGCTTTAGGGGTTACAGGCTGGAAGTCAGAAAGAAGCACATGCCACAACACAGCCAACATGATCTTCTCCTATCCCACCTTGTCTGCTGGAATTAATGAGTTTAGCTGCAGTGAAATCTACTATTATGCTGAGTCTACAACTTCCAGGGAAACTTAAGCACAGAATTCAATTTCCATTTCTCTTTGGCCTGGGAACCTGGGAGAAAGTCTGGAGATTCCCAGTAAGCAATTAGTACAAGGACGGGGGAAAAAACACATAGGTTTGTGTACATATAACTGTAGATAAGCACCCCATCAAGAGAAATGAGTAAGAAACATTATTTGTAAGAGTAATAAAAATTATTTCCTGATGGAAGCACTCATCTATGTAGTTAATGTATAGAGCAGGGTGTGTGTGCTAACATATCTAGCGCAACCCTATTTGCAGAAAATATTGAACGATAACTGTCAAATAGAATAAAGTTCCCTTTCATATATAAACACTGTTCAAATAATTGTTTTGCAGCCAAGTTAGCTCTTTAGTTAGACTGTGACTACAAGGTCAAATACGGATTTGTTCCACTTATAAAATCGGTGAAATTGAAGTATTTTTAAGGAACATATGATGCCGAAGCTGATTCAAACTGGTCCAGCCCTTTTCGGCTCCCAAAGTGGCTTTTTTCTCTGCTGCTTGGGGTGTTTCTACTTTTTCAAGCCAAAACTATTCAAACAGACCTTTTCCTGTGTGGTCAGTTGTGATATGTTCTTGTAAAGATGGGGTGGGTGGGTGTCTGTAGGTGATATAGGCAGTTTGGGCATGGTGTCCAGGACCAGGGGGACATATCTCCACATTCTTTCCTCTCGCCTCTGAATTTTTAGTTTCTTACGTGTGTGAAATTAGCGCTAGATTGCCCTATCATATCGTTGGGTCATCTTATTATTATCTCTTGCATTTATGCCTCTGTCAGTTCCCCATCAGATTTCCAGAGGCAGGACCAGCAGAAGGAAGGATTGGCAGAGGCGAGACCAGAGGAAGAAAGGAAAGAAGGGAGGCTGTGGCCTGGAACACACATTGCATCACATCCAACATGAACAGTGAACTCCTGAATCAATCCACAGCCTCTGTGTGAGCACTTATTGCAATTTCAAACGTAATACAAGCTGCAAATCTAATTGCAGCAAATCTTAATTGCTCCAATTTGGTTTTCCAGTGTAGTCACACCTTAAGACACAAACAGCCACTGTAAACTGAATCCTTTATTTTCCCATTAGCCTCCTTCCTTATTGTGATAATCAAAATGCATTAGCTTTTTCTGCTTCCAAATGGATGATACAACTGTCCAGGGCCTTCACAGGGAAGCCACAAGCAGTAATGCTCATATTCTTTCCCAGAGTTCAATGAAGTGGTTTCTCAGTTTCCTTTTCTCATTTATTACTGTACAACAACCAATTACGCTTTTTGTATAAATAAACAAAGAATGTGAGAAAATAAAAAATAATAGTTGAGCAATCCATAAAACCAATTTTAAAAACATACAAATGCTTTGCCTTATAGTTAAATACTTGTTAATTAAAATAATTCTAAAAACATACAGCATATTAAAATTGGGGCAACAAAATCCTTCCTCCTCTCTAAAGCTGCTCCAGTTCCTATCAACCCTAAATGTCACATATATAACAAAGGTACCAGCAAATAGGTCATTACATTGGATTCTTAAGTAGAAACATAATAGGGGTGGGCAGCGGACAGATGTCAAAGGGAAGTTAATTAACTACCCCCTGCATCCAGCAGAGCAATATTTGGGGGACACAAATTGGCCTTGATACTGTCCTTTGACCTATATCAACTGCAGGCTATTTAATATGCATTTGGTTAGAAGTTCCCAAGGGCCAAATGGGCAAATAAAAGCCAGGTATGTTGGACAATTGACCAGTGTAGCAAGATTTCTATACAATTTATTAAAGAGCAAAGAGCCATGTGTGAAGTTTGCCTGATAATCAACACTGATGAGGCCCACTGTGAATTCCAAGCAAGTACTACCAAAGCCTTTAATAATCAGGTAGGCTATTGAAAAGTCCAGTGTAGGAACAGTTCTCCAGAGTTTAGCAATCCATAATTCTTGGTCCATATTCTCAAATGCCACTGGGCCCAGGAGAGAGGCCTGTTGGGAAATTATTTTATTCCAATAGCAAATAACCATTCCTTTGAAGTGTATCTAGAAATGCCTAAAGCTCTTCCAGAATTTGTTACTGTTACCACGTATCATCAATTTACTTGACATTTAGTGACACTGTGATTTTGCGACTTCCAAAATATCCAATCATTAACAACCGTGCTCAGCTCCTGAAAGCTCAAGGATGTTCTTCTTTATGGAACCAGTCCGTCTCATATTTCCATGCTGCCTTCAACTTTTCCTAGCATTGCATTTTAAAGCACATTGTGTCATCTCATGATGTGCTCAAAGTACAACAGTCTCAGTTTCATTTTTATCTCTAGAGAAAGTTCAGGCTTGATTTGATCTAGGACAAACTTGTTTATCTTTCTGTCAGCTCACGGTATCCACAAAGCTATCCTCCAGCTTCCTATCTCATATAATTTTTTTCTGTCAGCTTTCTTCACTGTCCAGCTTACATGGTAATCAGGAATGCAATAGTCTGGATGATCTTGGCCTTGGTTTCCAGTGACACGTTGTAGCATTCTGTATTTATTAGGTCTATGGTTCATGTTATGTAATGGTTTATCTTTGTTATGTAATAATGGTTCATGCATATTAATGTTGCTGAGAGGTGGAGCCGAGAGAGATCCTATAAGAGGCGGAGCCTGAGTCAGTCAGGGAGTCAGTCAGTTAGAGAAATGTAAGAGGCAGGCAGGAGAGAAAAGCCAGACAGAGTAATAGAGTGTAGTTTGGGAAATTTAGGTGTGATTAGCTACTGAAGATATTTAAGAATCTCTGTAATCAACAAACCAAAGTTTTATTTTAAAGAAATTGAAGTGTGGATCTGAATTTTTCTGAAGTAATGGTGAATTAGAGATCACCTGGTGGCAGCAAGTGTAAAAGAAGAGAGTGTTTGCCTTCAAGTGCTCTGAGGCTTGAATGTCAAGCAAAAGGGGCACGAGGGTGGACGTCACACACGTTCTTACACTTTTCTTTTCTGGTTCCAAATTTCTACCTTCTTATTTCTTGGCTGCATTCTCCTCCTTCATCTAAATCTAGTCCAGCTTTCTATGTGATACATTCCATATAGAGAATGAACAGATAGTAAAATGCATCCTTATCTGACACCTATGCCAATGACAACCCATTATGTTTCTCCATATTCTCCCATTTTCTAACTATAGCTTCTTGTCCACAATACAGGTTATGCATTAGGACTGTCAAGTGCTGAAGCACATCCATTTCTCTCAGAACAACAGTTTCTCATGATTCACACAGTCAAAAGCTTTGTGTAATCTAGAAAGGATAGACTGACCCCCTTCTGAAATTCTTCTGTGTGCTCCAATAGCCAACTTATGTTTCTAATATGATTTCTAGTGTGACTAGAAATCTAGCCCTAAACGGTTTAGGACCTTGATACTTGGCGGAACGCCTCCTCCCATCTAGATCTACCTGTACCACTCGATCCAGGCAGGAGGGGTGACTGAGCAGCCTAAAGCCGAGGGAGGTCCGGGGAAAAAAACAAGACACCGGGCCTTCTCGGCAGTGGCTCCTTCTCTTTGGAACAAACTCCCCTCTGAGATCCATTTGGCCCCCTTGCTGGGCATTTTTAAAAACCAACTTAAGACCTGGTTATTCAGACAGGCCTTCCCTCCAGGCACTACTTAATTTATTTTTCCTCCCATCTTGAACTATTGTTATCATTGTATATTGCTGTAAAACTGTTATCATATACAGTGGTGCCTCGTATAACGAGCGCCCTGTTTAACGACGAATCGCATAACGATGCGGATTTTGCGATCGCAAAAGCGATCGCATTACGATGTTTCCTATGGGGAAACATCACTTTGCGATGTTTCCCCATAGGCACCATTTCCCCCCAGCTGACCAGCGGGCACTTCCGAGCGATCGCAGGGGAGACCTCTCCCGCAGCCACTCTGAAGCCAGCGCCGCCCAGCTGGGGGGAAATGCTGGCAGGGGCTTCCGAAGGGCTGCGGGGGGGGGCG